ATATGCTTGACAAAATTTTTTAAAAATAATGAAAGGATTGTAAAAAGGCCAAGAAATTTCTCAGAACACAAAGCAAAAAGAAAGAGAAAGAGAGATGCATAATATACAGAAAATATTTTGAGACATAGAGGGTTGATCCTCGAAAACCAGTAACCATTAGTAGGAGTTCTAGGTCATACGCAGTGGCTCATGGCTGTAATCCCAACATGGGAGGCCAAGGGGAGGTTTGCTTGTGCCCAGAAGTATGAGACCAGCCTAGGCAACATATTGTGACCTCATCTCTACCAAAAATTAAAAAAATTAGGCAGGTGTGGTGGTGTGTGCCTATAGTCCCAGCTACTCAGGAGGCTGAGGTGGAAGGATTGCTTGAGCCCAGAAGGTCGAGGTTGCAGTAAGTAGTGATAGTGCCACTGCCACTGTATTCTAACCTGGGCAGCAGAGCAAGATTCTGTCTCAGAAAAAAAAAAAAAAGTTCTAGAGGAGAGAACAGAATGAAGGGATGAAAATTATTAAAGAAATAATAGACACTTTCCAAGACAAAAAAACAAAAAAGTCAAAGTCTTCAGAATGAAAAGGTCCACCAAACATAGAGGAATATGGATAAAAAAATGTTTAGATTTGGACTCATACTAGCTATTTTGAAGAGGCAAGAATAAGTTAAACAACCCAAAATCTTCCAGTGAAAAATAAAAGGCAGCTCATGAATCTTAGAACACAATGGAGTAGTACCTTCAAAAGTGCTAGGAGAAAATGACATTAAACTTAAACTTGATATCCAATCAACCTGTTTTTAAAAAAGAAAACTAAAGATATTTTCTCACATTTAGAGACTCCAATGTTTCTCTTAATTCATCTTTTTGGTAAAAAATTGCTTGAGGATGTACTCCAGCAAAATGAAAAGGAAAGGAGTCCAAGATAGAGAATGATTTGGGATCCAAGAAGCAATGAATCTAGCCCAGTAGAGCAATGAAAACAGATCCCAGAATGACAATTGTATAACAGATCAGGAAATAAGTCAATAACTATTAGATTATTCAGCAAATAACATGACCTTAAAATGGAATGATCTCAGTGACTTAGTAAAAAAGGCATATATGCCCATGTGCCTATACAAGAGGGACAAAGACAATTGAAATGCCAGAGAAAACAAAAATCACCAGGAAAAACAAAAAAGTCATCTACGTTTCTCTATCTAGCTTCAATGTCCTATATTATTTAATTTCTTAAAGATTTAATTAAATTTTATTAAATATTTTCATTAAAATAATTTATTGTTTTAGAATTCAATGTTTATCGAGTTGAAAATGCGAAAAAAATTATCTACATATATAGAGAGATGTCTTATATATTTATACGTATCTTAGCCAGTTCAGGCTGCTATACCAGAATACAATAGACCAGGTGACTTAAATAACAGAAATGTATTTCTCACAGTTATAGAGGTTGGGAAGTTCAAAATAATTGCACAGACAGATCCAGTGTCTGGTGAGGGCCCACCTTCTTGTTTACAGATGGCCATTTTCTGTTGCATCCATATATGGCAGCAAGAGAAAGAGCGTAAGATCTCATATCTCTTCTTATTAGGGCACTAATCCCACCATGAAGGCGCCACCTCATGACCTAAGTATCTCTCGAAAGCTTCACCTCATGAATATTCCTGAAACACAAATAAAGAAAAGAAAAGCAAGAAAATAGACATGCCATACTAATGGGAAATGATGGAGCAACATGAGAATCTATAGCATGCATGCTCTTTGAAAAGAAGAATTTGATGAGTTAATTTGTCTTTTTTCTTATTTCTACCACTTAAATCCTTCCTGTGCCCTGAAGACAATGTCCATCTCTGACACTGGCATTGGGACAATCCACACACCCTCTTGGTTTGCAAATATAGCCACTTTTTGTTCTGAGGTCATAGGCAAGAGGGGGAGAGGTGCTTCCTTGTGCCTGGACAGCATTAGTAAACAGAGCAGATGTTTAGGATGACTTGACCACACAAATACCAGATCCTGAGCATCAGAGCTTCCCATGGATTCTTTAATAAATTCATGTTTTTGTGATGTGTGGCCTCTCTAAAGCACAAAGCCCACGGAAGGGACTCTTTGTGTATGCATCTGAATGTAGTATTGCCTGCAGCCTTCTCTGACTGATCTATATAGCAGAAACAATCATATCTTCTGAGACAAACAGACTTGAATTCAGGTCCCAGTGTCCCTTGGAAGCCTCATGACTTTGAGCAAGGCATGGAATCTCCCTGAGTCTCAGCTTCTTTATCTGTCAAGTGGGAGTTATAACAGGAACCTGAGGCAAAAGCAACAACTGAGGACTAGCCTGCAGTTCCTCCCCTCCTCTTCCCACTCTGACTAGTTCTACTCTATGTGGGCATAAAACTCACATGTCCAGTCCTTATTCTCATATCCTCCTATCACTGAATACAGCTGCCCTTGGCCGTCCCTCAGGCCTGGAAGTGCACAGACTGATGGCGTGGTCCACCCTCAGGAAGGACAGGCCTGGGGAGAACACCTAGGCAGACTCTGAAATTAGGCTTTGGGGTCCCAGGTACTCAAAGCATTGTCTAGGTGGTGGGATGCGGGGTTAGGGAAGGGATGAGCATGAGTTGTAGTTGGAAACAGTCTCTTGGATATCTTCAGACTCCTCATCTGTAGGGAGAATGACCAGAGACAGACCGTCTAAGGCAAGGCCTTGGTTGTCTGGCTCTGACGTGATCCTGATTGTGCCATGTTCATGAGATGATGTTTATAAACTGCTTAGGACAATGCTTGGCACTTATTAGGTGTTCAGCACATGCTGAGTGTTCAATACATATTAGTTATTGCTATTATTATTATCAAAACGAGAATCTGAGGGCTGAGTCTCACTTTCAAGGATGTAATAGGAATAAATGAGATTATAAGAAACAGCTACTCTAAAGACATTTGGATGAGATGAGATGTCATCCCTGCGTGTGCTGAGGCTGTGGTTGCAGGGAGAGAGGAGGAGCCTACCCACTTGCTGGAGACACAAGGGATTGCTCTGCCCCCAGAAGCATCACGTCCTTCCCAAGGTGCCAAGAGCTCTGCGATCACAGAGAGACTTGATTGCAGCCTTCTTAGAGATTAACAAACAGAAGACTAAGATAGTGGTAGCTCTGCTAAAATCCCTGCTTATGGGGCACCTACTATGTGCACAGATACCATGCTACAGTTTCACCCTACAACTCTGTGAAGGAGGGACATTTCAGAGATGGGGAAATTGAGCCTCAAGAGGTTAAATGACTTGATCAAGTTAATGCAGCCAAGGAGGTGTGAAGTATCTGACTTCCAAGGCAAACCTATTTCTGTTGCACTATGATGCTGCATTTAAGGCTCAACTCGTAGACAAAAGGCAAAAACTTTCCCAGGGAGGCCCCAACGGATTTCCAAACAGGGATAATGACAGTGAGGATTATGAAAGTGCTCAGTACCAGGAAGCACACAGTAAATCCTGCTGACAGAGCCCAGCCCCACGGGACACCCTAGAGCGGCTCTTGGCAAAGGCTCTATTCTCACCTACTCCTGCTGGTTGCTTGGTAGAGAGACTGGTTGGAGGAGACATGTTGCTCTGGTCTCTGACAGGCCCTAGTTCAGGCCTTTGGCTGCATCTCAGAGCTTGGGTTTGTCTTCGGCTCTGTTGAGGGTGTGGTGTGGGTGACAGGAGGTGATCTCCTCCTTCCCAAAGTCAGTCTCCAGAGACTTCAGCCTTCTCAGCCATCCAGATAGGAAGTCTACTTAAGAGGTTATTTCTGGCCAGGCATGGTGGCTCTATCCTGTAGTCCCAGCACTTTGGGAGACCTAGGTGAGAGAATTGCCTGAGTCCAGGGGTTTGAGACCAGCCTGGGCAACTTGGTGAGACTTCATCTCTACAATAAATTTAAAAATTGGTCAGGCAAGGTGGCATGTGCCTGTAGTCCCAGCTACTTGGAAGCCTGAGGCAGAAGGTTTGCCTGAGCCCAGCTGGTCAAGGCAGTGGTGGCCATGAGCATGCCACTGCACTCCAGCCTGGGTGACAGAGTGAGACTCCAACTAAAAAAAAAAGATGTTATTTCTACTCCTCTACCAGCTTGGTCTGTGCCTCCCTGGTCACCCAGTTCTAAAGGTTGGCCCAAATAACCAAACCAGGGTGGCTAATACTCTCAATGTCTAGGTCTTAGAGATCTTCTTTAGATGCACATAGCCTCTGTTCATGACTGATCTAGTGCTCAAGTTCACTATACAAGTACATTTGCACAAAGAGACATTCTGGACCATGCCAGGAGGGCCTAGCCAAGACTGGGTTCCCCACAGAGCAGGCTCTGTACAAGGAGTTTCTTAGGGTACGGTTCCGGGAGGCACTGCTGGGGCATTATAGAACTGAGGCAGGGAAGGAAGGAAAGAAGGAAAGAAGGAAGGAAGGAAAGAAGGAAGGAAGGAAGGAAGGCAGGCACAGTGGGTTACATTAATGAGCAGGTTACTGGCATGGGCTGTTGGCTATCAGTGCTGTTGAAACCTCCTGGGAGGCAGTATAAAAAGTCTCAGAGTTGGCTCGCTTGAGAGGTGAAGATGCCAGGATATTTATCCACCAACTCCTATTTGTCATTGGTTAAAGATTGTTCACAGGGGTATTACAACTTCCCAGTACTTCTGGCCTGCCCTGTGCAGGGTCAAGCATACCCATGCAGCAAGAGAAAGCTCCCAGGCAGAGTTGCACGACCTTTCAGCAAGCAGCCACCTGCAGAAAGGACACAGGAGGGGTGGATACAGGATCTGCCATAGAGCCCGCCCTTCTTGGTCCTGCTGGGTCAGGTAAAACAATTCTCTGAGCCACCAGAAAACCACGAGTGAAAACTTTATTGCTTCAAGCACTTTACATGAATGTCACCAACATCATATTTGGGCAAATATAGAAAAAGCACAACCTATTGTACAATCATTCCATCTCCTCAATTCATGCACAATACAGACGCTTCCCAGACCTCTCTCCCAGCACAGTGGATGGGTTTCAGGGGCAGCAGCTGCACTTATCTGAGCCCCCTTTGCAGATACAGCCCTGGGCACACTTGGCACAGCCTGGGGGGCAGCAGGGACAGCAGCCTGAAAGGGTCAGGAGATGCACAGATCAGCTTTGGGTCAACACTCCCATCTTACCACTCTCCCTCCCACCACATAGAGGAAGTAGGAAAAGAAGCTTCAACTCATATTAGCAAAAATCCTGGGACAGAAACTTGTGAATGTTAGGGCTGGAAGGAATCTCAGGGGTTATCTAGAGTCCATCAAAGTTCCATAGAGGAAAGGGGTTTGCCAAGGTCATTAGACAGTAACAGAGGCAAGACTAGATCCCAGGGCTCATGACTACAGGCCAGTGCTTTATCCCTGTCACCACTGGGCAGGACAGAACCTCCCCTCCATCTCCTTCTGCAGATGCCCTCATCCCTAGGTGGCCTGCAGCCCTGGGGCTCTGCCCCAGGTCTCTGCTCAGCTGTCACTTCAGATCTCTCCCAAATGGGTAGAAGCCATCCAGAATCTACCATGGCTAATGGACTGAGGATGGAGACTCAGACCTTCTTAGCTCCCAACCAGTGGTGCCACCAGTCCCCACACTCACTTTTTCGACATGTTTTACAGTTGCAAGTTGTGCATTTGCAGTTGTCTCCACAGATGCAGATTTCACCTAGAAGAGAGGATAGGGCCACCACACCTGTGAGGATGGAGTGGGAGTGGGGAACGCAAGGCATGCTGTTGACTACCAGTGGCAGGGATTCTGGGCTGTCCTTGGAGAGTGGCTGGACAAGAGGGTGACAATGCTGTCAGGCGTGACCTCACTGTCAAGGACTTCCAGTCACAGGCCACTGTGGGAACTGGGATGGTTGTATCAGCAGCCCCCCCAGGATACTTGTTAAAATGCAGGTTCCTTGGCCTAATCCTTGAGATATTCTGATTCATAAGTCTGGGTGAGGAAAGGAGACCAGTTATTTTTAAAAAGTAACCCAGACGATTCTGATGAGAGCCACCAGACTAGGCCAACTTTACCAAGTCCGAGGTTCCTCTGGGAATGATCAAAGCCTTTCACACCCTCCTCACCTTCACAAGGCAAGATGGAAACCATGAATAGATAGGAGAGAAAGGTCAAGGAACATAAGCAAGCCCAAAATGACCATCCAACCGGGCGAGGTGGCTCAGCCTATAATTCCAGCACTTTGGGAGACCGAGGCAAGAGAATTGCCTGAGCCCAGGGTTTCGAGACCAGCCTGGGCAACTTGGTGAGACCTTGTCTCTACAATAAATCACACAAACTAGCCAGGCATAGTGGCATGTGTCTGTAGTTCCAGCTACTTGGAAGACTGAGGCAGAAGATTGCCTGAGCCCAGCAGTTCAAGGTTGCAGTGGCCATGAGTGTGCCACTGCATTCCAGCCTGGGTGACAAGAGTGAGACTCCAACTCAAAAAAATTAAAACTAAAAATTTTTTTTAAAAAGGCCATCCACACTTTAAAAAATTTACCCCAATTAGCCATGCATGGTGGCACGCACCTGTAATCCCAGCTATTTGGGAGGCTGAAGCAAAAGGATTGCCTGAGTCCAGTAGGTCAAGGCTGCTGTGAGCCATGGTCATGCCACTGTACTCCAACCTGGATGGCAGGTGAGACCCTGACTCAAAAAAAAAAAAAATCACCCCATTTTTCGTTTTGAGTTTCAATATACTGGAATCTTCTGTCTCTTTTGCAAGTTTTTGGTACAGACATATCCTGCTGAAGACAAAAGAGTCTTGTAAGACTTCCTGATACCGTCTTCCAAGGCTGTAAAAGCCCAGGATGGCTTTGAATCTTGACCTCTCTCCTCTGGCCAGCATGCTTCCATGGATTTGAGATTTGAGAGTCCATATAACTCCCCTGACACCTAAAAGCACTTAATGATTTTAGTTCTTTCACAGCAGCTCTGGGATGCTGGTAGTTGGGGGGATGAGCAATCTCAAGTTTAAAGATAAAGAAACTAAGGATCAGAATAATATAATAGCTGAGGACCATGTGTGTAAGTGAATGGTGGCAATGAACCCAAACCAGGTTGCCAAGTTCTGGGCTGGAGCTCTTCTCTCTACTCTGATGGCTGCCCCTGAGGGGTCCAGTGGCTAGAAGGACCAAAGTTTCCACGTTCCCCTCCCAGCAATTTTCTGAGTCAGGATATCAATTCTAGCAAATCAGACTGGATACCATTTAGGGACAAACCCCCATCGGTGGCTCCTAGTTTGAGGAAAGAGAAGTTTTAATCAGTCCTGCAGGCTCCCTGTAGGAAGCTGGTGCAAGACTCCAGGACCCCAGGGTGGGCTTTCCTACTCACCAGACATGCAGGTGCATTCCCCAGGGTCCATGGTCTAGGCGTTTGAGCAGCTTAGGAGCTGTCACGGCTGGGAAGGGAGGCTGAGTGAGCAGGCATGGAAGCTTCCTATTTATAGCCAAGTAGGTGTAGACTGGGGCTCACCCCACCTCTCCCCGGGGCCAGACGCCCTGCACACGGCCCAGACAGATGCCTCGGGCGAGGGGTTGGAGAGGGCAGGCAGAGGGAGGGCAGAGGAGGGGCTGAGCTGTATGATCATTCTGGTGGCTTTTCACAAGGGGTGCAGGTGGCTGCACCCACCTACCTGCCCACCTGCCCATCTGCCAACTGTTAAGGAACTAGCTAGGCTCAGGCTAAAATGCCCTCATGGTGCTCAGATTGCCAGTTATATGTATCCAGTCTCCAACCAAGTTCTATGCATTCTATTATCTGCCATTTATTTTCCCTCTTTCACAGGTGCCTGCCCAGGCTCTGGGCCTCATTCTCTCTCCCCTGGTTGACGACAAAAACCCTTACCATGGACAAGAGGCTCCAGACCTTAGAAGGTTCCATTAAGAGCCTCCACTGGCCACACCCATTCTCATGGGTGAGAAGGTAAAAAATCAGGAAATTTTCCCCATGCAGAGCTTACAACCTTTCCTTCTGAACCACACATGGAGTGGCAGAAGCAAGAGAGGACTTGGGGAGATTGAATCACCCACCCCCATTCTCCATCATCGCCCCGTTCTTTGGTATAGGCAACTGACTACTTCTCAGCTTTATGTAAAGTGCCCTACAGATGACACAGCTTCAAGCTTCCCCGCCAAGCTGCCACCCTCACCCACTCCTCCTATGGAATCACTGGAGCTGGTGCTGATTATGCTTCTTCCAGGAAGCTGCCGCGATCTCTCCTTTTCTTAACTGGGAGAAATCCTCTGTGTCCCCTTGCTGATGCTTTGGTACATTTCTCATGACATTTACTTTCTCCTTGCTGGGTGATTACTTGGGGTCATGGCTCTTATCTCTCTCACTCCAATCTGGGAGCTATTGGGGGGAAAGACCTGTGTCTGAAGCATCTTTCTAGTTCAGTGTTCTGCACAACATTTAGTGGATGTTGAATCCATGAAGGAATGAATGAATCAATCAATCAGATGAGTAGTTGAATGACTGAAGACATGAGTGAGAGAGTAGGCATATAAGTGAACAAATGAATGAGTGAATGAATGATGAGTGAACAAATGCATGAATTTTCTACATGTGCTCTGCCAAGTGCCTTTGCTGAAAAGTGCTGTCAATATTCAGAAAGGCAAAAAATGGGCCTGACCCTAACTGGTGAAGGTGCTTCCTCCTAGTTCTCAACTTTGTGGGTTCGGCACTATTCATCCATAAGAACCACCCGGCCTCAATCTGACCCATGGGACCATGAATTTTGAGCTGAGAACTTCTAATGAGGACAAAGAAATGTATATCCATGGTCATCCAAAGGACACTGTGGCAGGCACTGGGAAGGGGCAGGGAGGGACAATACTGTAGTGACCCCAAAATTGTCCCTGCCCAAAAGGGGTTCATAGCTTACTAGGGAACATGTATTAATTCATCAGCTTCCAAGGGCCAGGCTTTGTGCTGGGCACTGGGATGAGTAAAAACAGTTTATGGTGCAGGTCAGAAGGACATCTCAGCCCAGGAAGCCCATGACTAGGTGTGGCTCCTCTCCAAATTCAGAGGCTGGATCGTCTTCCTGGGTCCGCACTCCCAGCCTAGTCCAGCCCATCCCTGTTGCAAGGCCAGCTTCCCCCAGCTCTTGGGCTGCCCTGTAGCAGAAATTAATGCCCTAGAGGGTCTGGCCCCACCTAGTGAGCCCAGAGAGAGGAAAGGATTTTCCTCCACCCTTATCACAGCCGTCTCTCCCTCCTCACTGTGCCAGGAATTGCTCTTGCTTGATTGATGGACAGTGTGAAGTTGCTCGAGACCCCAACGGAATGGCAATATCAAAACCCAACCTCCTAACATGAAAATATTTTCCAATTCCTGAGCTGTATGGATCTAAACAAACATGTGGCTTCAGGCAGTCCAACTCATGTTCTTCCACTGCCTGGGAAACAGCATCCGCAGGTTCATTTGGTCCATCTTGCCATCTCTGGGTCTCAGCTCCTGCTCTCTGGATGGTGGCAGGAACAAGAACACACATGCTACACCAAGAACATGCAGTAACTGGCAGGCACAGTGTAAATCTATACCTAGAAAATATTTATTTGGAGAAGTGAGCCTTAGCCTTCTTGGGGGCTCAGGGAGCCCTTTGAAAACCTGATGAAAGCTCTGGACCTTCTCTCTAGAGGAAAAAAAGCACAAATACACATTTTCTCCACAAGTTCAAGGTTTTGCAGCTCTCCTAAATCCCACTGATGAGCTCCTGAGGGGTCCAGTATTAAGAATTCCTCTGCAAAGAAACAATTTTGCCTGGAGCAACTCTTTACTCAGCAATTTTAACTCCTTTGAGCCACTGAGTCCTAGCTGTCCTCTTCTCCTGTTACAGTGTGTAAGTAAATTCAAGTGGTTTTCTCAGAACAAAGAAACAGATTACTCCAAAGGGTGTCTAATTCTCCACCTCTTATGAGACATAAAACAACAAATTTTTTGTCTTCTTCCCACAAAGTAAAACCTAAACACATGTGGCTTCTGTGTTCAGCAGTTTCTGCCAGAAAGAAGTTTCTGAAACTCATGGCTTAAGAAGGGATGTTCAGCCATGTAGTGATGGCAGAGAAAGGTCGCATGCTCTGACTCTACACCCTGGTCTATGTTCTACTCTTGGGGTCGCCACCTTTCCCCATCCAGGGACCATCTTGGGGCCATGTCTCTTCAGGAGCAAAGAGAGACTTGGTTTTATGATGCTGGGTTAGAAACTGACTTCTCTAGACCACAAGATTGTCAAGAACAGAGCCTGTGGCTTATTAATCTCCACATCTCCTGGCCAGGATCACTGAGTGCTGTCACACAGCAAGTATTCAATAAATATTTATAAGCTGCTGACACATAATTGGCTCAAGGAACAGAGTTATATCCAGGCTGCCTTCTCTGGCTGACAAAGATATTTAGAGGAACTTGTTGCTCACTAAGAGTGGTCAAGAGCTTGAGACTTGGAGTTGTCCTGCCTGGGTCATAATCCCAGCTCTGCTTCTTTTCTGCAATGATTTAGAGCAAGTGGCTTGACCTCTCTGAACTTCGGTTTTCTCGTTAGCAAAATCTAGCTCATGCTGACGACAACCCTACAGTGCTGTTGTTGTGAAGGTTAAATGAGGGAATATATATCAAACACTTAGCTCAAAATCTGACACAAGATGATTATCATTATCATTTTTTACTATGACTGTTATTATCTGTACCTAATACAAATGGGCGGTTTGGTTCAGCCACTCACCCTTCGGACGTTTTGGGCACATAGACCCACAACAGGTCTCGCAGTCCTGAGCAGGACGAATTCATCTGCATTAAATATTGTGGAGTTTGAGTCTTTGGGCTCCCAACTTTTAAGTTCAGCCTAATTCTTTTTGGGGCTTAGGGCCAGGGATCTGTGGAGCACTGTCCTTTCTGACCTCCCTTGTTGCAGTTTCTACCTATTTGGAGGCAAAGGTGACCTTCCGCCTTCAGAGTCCTCTTCCGGGGTATTTCTGGCCTCATATGTAGAACTAAGCATGAGATGTGGGGGGCAAAATTAGAACAGCAGGGGCCCTATGGGTCCTAGGGAACCCAGCTTGAATCCTATATAATCAGTTCTGAAAGAACCCTGAGAAGTCAGGGGCCTGCACCTTGCTGTCCAAATGGAGAAACCAATCCCCAGTCACTGAGCTTAGGTTGGTGACAGGGGTGGGATGAGAGGATGAGGAAATTATAACTTGGCTTGTTGCTAACACTCAGTGCTTTAGATCTGAAGCCCTCATGACAGAGTTGTTCAGAAACTTAAAGCCTTTATGCCTTTATAAATTGTTTATTAGTTAATTTTTTATTAGAAAAAGTTCAAACACACTGAAAATTACAAAGAATAAGAGTCCGAACACTGCCTGGGATTCCAAGCACTACCGCCCAGAATTAACAGAGGTCAACGTTGTCCTATTTGCTCTAGCTCTTGTAATTATAAGAAATAAACATTTAACAGGTTCATGGCTTCAAACACCACCTATGTGTTGGTGACTCCAACTTGTGCTTCCGTACTGGGCCTCTCTTCTGAGTTCCAGTCTCTTATCCTGGCTGCCACTCACCCCCACATGAATGTCAAACAACATCTCAGATTCGTCCTATGCCCAACGGAGTGCTTCCTCCCTGCCTCCTGTCACATCCTGCCCCAGTCTCATCTGTCTCCATGGCTGCCACTTGGTTTGAGGCAACCCTTTCGCCTCGGCCTCCCAAGTGCTGCGATGACAGGCATGAGCCACCACGCCTGGCTGTATTTTTTAAAAGTCCATAAGTGGTACCATACTGTAAGCATTGTTCTACAACTGTTTTCCCTTTTACTGCTATGCTTTTGAGGTCTATCTGTTTTGATGCACGTCTCCTATAATAATATCATGTGGTATGATGATGCCACATTCCCCTTATCCATTCCCCGACTGACCTTCAGGTTGCTTCATGTTTTCTCTATTATAAAAATGCTGCAAGGAATAATGCCACGTAGATGAGTGTGCAAGGTTTCCACGTCCCTAGAAGGAGGATATCTAGGTTATGGGGGCAATTGGTCTCCAAAGATCCTATATCAATTTATACTCCCTCTGGCAATTTCTGAAAACCCCCATTTCCCCACCACCTCCTCCAATACTTCCTATATTCAGACTTTGAAATGCCTGCTTGTCTGATAAGTGTGAAGTTCAATGGTATCTAATTGAGGTATAATTTGCACGTCCCTGCCTCTCAGCTTCATCGACCATTAACATCCAGAAAATGAGCCAGGGTCTAGTCCTCCTTACGCTGATTGTGCATGTCTCATCAGCCTTTCACACCCAGCAAGCAAGAGCATGGTGCAGATCATGAGGCCGCCGTCCTTCAGACTGGGTTCCAATACTGGCTCTTCTATCTGTTCACTGTACAGCCTCAGACAAGTGCCTTTATCTCTGTGAACCTCGGCTAT